CTGGGCTACATGGTTGAAAAATACATTTCCATCCATTAGTAGTTCTCTGTTGTCTTTCACAGACACTCTGCCAAGCCAGAAGTGCCAACTGTTGACAAAGCCAAAGCAGGGGATATGAAGTTGCTATCTTAGAGTATAAAGTAGTTTGAGGAAAACCCAAGTTTGTGATTCAGAAAAGGCAGCATGCACATCCCATTTCACAAATGACATGAATATGTCCATGTGAATATGGACAGCAGAAACAAGCCAACACGCCAAATCATAAAACCCCCTAAAGGCAATCATTCAATTATCAGCTCTGCAAGGCAGGCTGCTTACCAGATGTCTAGACTCATTAAATTAACTGTCAGTAATTTTGTTCTCCCCCCCCACACACACACACACACAAACAGCAAGCAATCAGACTACACAATTACTGAAACTTAGACCAATGGAAAGGCCTAACCAGAAGTAGCCAGTGATCCTTCACAGTAGAACTCTTCCTCTTAAAAACAGTGAGATCTGATGGTCACAACTATTCATAGCCCAGTAATCACGCCAAGATAAAGACTACCATTATTTTATTATTTTATTTTTTAATGGAAAGTCAAGTAACAGTTTGCTCTATCCTCTTCTGTGACTGATTTCAGTTGTGGTTGTTGTGGTTGTTTTTAAAGAGATCCTTTCCAGTATCTTTTGAGAGAGTAAACTTAAATTTAACAACATGAGATTGAATCTATTGATGAATTTCCAAGAATAGAAATGATCCACTCCTCCCCTGCAACCTCCCACATGGCCTCAAAATCTGCTGCAGAGAGTCTCTAGTCCTGTGTTGCAAAACGTGAGGATCACAGGACTGAGAGAGAGTGAAGAAAAGTTCCTCCACGCTAGTGGACATCAATATGGAAGTTCACTCTTACTGATCTGTATTTTTAATCTAATCGGTAGCAAATGTTCTCTGGGAGGATCACATTAAAAGAACATGAGCAGAATAAAATATAAAGTAAAAACACTAAAAAAACTAACAAACAAACAAAAGGCCCAAATCTAACAACATAGAAAGTCAAAAACAATAGAAAAGTAACTTTTTAAAAATGATTTAGCAGGCAATACAATTGTACAAATTGTTATAATATGTGTTGTAACTCAGATCCTTTATGCATTTAAAATATTTTCCTAAGGTCAGAAACCTGTATTTTATATTTTTGGCCCACTAAAAATGAAAAATAACAACAACAGCCCTTAGCCAGAGTAAACCTGTCAAACACCTGGTTCACCCTGGCTGACTTGTCCATCTTGACAACCCCAACTTCTTTAAATCACAACAACGAAATGCTGGGAGCCCAAGACAGAAAAAAATAGCCAGTCTTAATTCATATGTATCATGTATGGGACAGTTGTTTTTTAAAATGTCCTTTCTTTAAATCCTTTCTTCCATATAATGAATGGAGTGATCTGTTTTCCAAGCTAGGAAGAATTCTGAATTATGTTCATGGATTATGTTGCCTATTAAATGCTAATAATTATGTTGTTAATAATTCTGTGACAGGTCAGAATCACAATTATCTAGCCTTCAGCGTCCTTACAGTAGATGGGATATACTGTAAATCAAATAAATCATAACAGCAGCATATGCTTTTATTTTTGCCTTCACCAGCAGACCTTGAGGCAGGTGATATGTGGGGAAGGGAATGCTGAACTATTAAAGAAAAGATATTCAAGTCCTGGGAAAGTGGAAAGTGTGAGAAAGAAACTAAAAAACTCAGTCTTGATTGTGTTAGGTATAAGATGAAGTAGAGAGAGGCTTTGACAGGCTTTCAAGATTTTGTTACAATACCTTAACTCGGTGTTTCTCAAGTTCTTGGGAACTTTAAGATGTGTGGACTTCTGCTGGCTGGGTAATTCTGGGAGTTGAAGTTGACACATCTTAACGTTCTCAAAGTTGAGAAAAACTGCCCTAATTGCATCAAAGCACATTGCAATTCCAGTTTCCTAACCTTGCCTGCTTTGGATGACTGACAAAGCATTCTTTTGTTATAGTTTTTAAAAAGAGATGGACCATTAGCAGTCTCTTTGTGCTCCTATTATAGATAATGGTACCTATCATCACCTTCATTTTATCTTATTCTCTAATTTTGACTTATTCTGGTTTCTTATAAATCTTGATTGATGATATTACCAAATGCATGATGTCATTTTGGCATCACTGCAATTTGCTGTGGGTCTTACTGCAAACATAAATGTGTAGAAGGAAAAATCTGGGCACGTGAAGTTAGGTGAAGGACGAAATAGTACCCAAAGTCCCTTGTGCTTTTCATAGCCAGCCTAGACAATTAACAAGTACAGAAAATACTGAGATGTTGTACTAATCCAATTTGAGGGGCCCAAAGTAAAACATCCCTTGTCCCTACTTTATTGTAGCTGTAATGACTTTTGTGGAAGCAAAATGCGTTTTGGAGAAACTACCAAGGTCAGAAAGTATTATTAGTTAGATTAATTAAGAGATTTTAGCTTCTTTTGATTTGTAATCCTGAACTGGGAAAGAAAGTTATATTATTAAGATTGTTTGAAGGAATACAGAGTTATCTCTTGCTCCACACAGAAAGTATTATATGCCTTAAAAAAAAGACAAAAACTGCTAGGTTGCTGGCTTTGCAAAGTTGCAGGTCTGTGCAAGTCATTCCCAAAAATGTCTCCAACAGGAGAACAACTGACATTTCACACCTTTGTATTTTATTGTCACCTTGAACAAATAATTTGATCCACTATACTACTGTGCTACAGAGTTCTCACTATTGCTCAAGTATTGTGGTACTGTGAGAAAATGGAAGAAAACTAAATTAGTGGGCCCGAGACCAAAAGGTTTGTACATGACCAAGATAATACAGACTAATGCATATTGCAATGCAAATAGATTAAGGGAAGGCGAAAAGAAAAGAAAAGAAAAGAAGTCAACAAGTTTAGGTAGAATTGGGTGGTGTGGGCTCTAATTGCTGGAGAGTTTCTCTCCCTCTTATACATGCCCAAACAGCTTTTCATAATTAAAAAAAAAAATCCCATTTTCAATGGACAAAGCCAGGGGAAAAAAAAAAGGAAATTCAAGAGTAATTGGAAAAAGGCAGGTTATAAACCTTACTTTGCTTCTAAAGGGACTTGCAATCCTTTAATAATTAACTCAACAGAAATCCAAACACTAACTTTTTTAAAGATGAAATTATATACTATCCCCAGATAATACAGCTTTTATTTATTTCCAAAAGTACATGAAAGATGCAGCACATCGTGATAATTTATTAAGTTGCAGGATTATGGTGAAACTTGGTTCCCTTTCCCACACTGATGGCTGTTAGTGCAGTTAGCAGCCAAACTGCTGCCATGAATCCTAAGGATGGTAAATAAATAGGCTGCTGGAAGGAAGGCATCTAATTCTTCATGCAAGAGTTAGATAAAGGGAGATCACAATTATTGGAAGAAGTTCTGAAATATTTAATGGGCTCCCACATCAATTAATTGGAAAGTAGATAATTTTGCATATTAATATAATCAAAATTTTAAATTGTTTTAGATAATGTACACGCTTATTGTTAAAAATAGAGAGGGCGTATATAATCAGTTTTCAGATGATCCTCAGACAGTCACTACCATCAGAAAACATAACAGAAAAATAGTTAGGCATTTTAGAAAATGACTTTGAAATTCAGGAGAGAGTGCTTTGTTTGACATATTAAAAATGATCCTGAAAAATTTCAAGAGTTACAATCACAAATCAATCACAATAAAACTGGTGGGCCCTCACCTCTGATCTACTAAGCATCTAATAATACTGTTATTAAAAAGAGTGTATGATTGTGGTACCTTGATTACAGAAATAATGCAATGCTGTTAGGTATCCACCAAGTTTAGTTATGCTATGTTACTGGCACCAGCATCTTTGTCTGTAACGAGTTGGCAACCTTCTTCTCCATATGGGCCAGAGGCCATGCCACCATTACTATCAGTTCCTTCTTCTTCACCTCATGACTCGCTCTTGCCAGTGCCAGGCAGGGACTTGTGGCTCCATAGCCACTGAGGCAGTTGGTGAAGCCATTGTCAAAATGGTTGCCCAAGGTGGTGGCAAGTGCTCTCTCCCTCTCTTGCGTGGGCCAGCTGAATATATTTCTTTTTGGGAGCATGGGTCAGATGATTTTGGGTGGTGGGCCACATCTGGCCCATGGGCCATAGATTGTTGACCCCTGATCTATAAGATAGAATACTACTCAAGAGGAATCTTAAAACAATAGGGATTTAGAGCACCTGACGTGTAGAGCAATTATGATTACTTAAAGATTTTCCAATCCCTTACTTACATTCTTAAGTTCTAGACACATCTTTTTTAAATAAAAGTTTACATCTAAATATTTTTAGAAGGCTATTCTTTCCATTTGTATCTCTGAAACAGAATGAATAAAATTAGCCTGTTCTGCTTAGAATTGCTTCCTAAAAGCTGTCAAGCAATCTGTAACAATCTGAGGCCAATTTTCACTAGCAACTGTTCCACATCAGTTTAGGACCCATCTTTCCACAAATTATTTTCCAAGTTTTGTATGAAACAATTTCTACAGCAAGGACTATCAATTTCTGGGTTTCTGGAATCTGCTAAGCCACTAATTTTGTCATCACTCACCACTCTCCATGCTGGCTAAGACTGTTGAGCGCTGTAGATCAACAACATTTAGAATGCCACAGGACATCTAATCTTAACTTACAGTACATAGCTCAGCTAAAATATAACCCATTACAATCATAGCACTTTCCCAGTTCTGGAAAAACTGTTGAGATGATTGTTCCCTAGATGTCTGGGAATGATAGTTAATATTATCTCTGACTAGCAGAGCTGGTAATTCAGGGAGGTATAGATCTACCACAGCTGAAGGGCAACAGGCTGTAGAACACTTAAGCTTTTGACAAGTTTAGCATCCTAGTGAGAAGAAAGAGCATTCTGAAAGTTTTTTCCCCCCAGGAGTGGTATGCAGGTAACGTACCTGAGCTACCCGATGGGAGATACCAAGGGCAGCTCATATTCACATAGGTGCCAGGCATACCATCTGGCCAGCAGACATAGTTGTCGAAGGTCCTGTTGCAAAACTTGCCTTCTGTGAACAGAGAATAATTGAAAAGAAGTCAGCGGAGAAAAAGTAAAAAAGTACATAACACTGTATTAAATGTATTAGCTTAATGATTTGACTTTTTAAAACAATTTCTATCCTTTTTCATTACTAAACGCAATTTCAAAGTAGCAGATTGAATTTCATAAGGAAACATCTAAGACTTAACCTTACAGTCAGACCCCCAAATTCTACAGCTCAAACCCGGAATTAGATTTTTAAAAGGCCAATCTAGAATTGCGTGCCATGGCAATGGCACACTTTTCTCCTTGTTGGAACGAACGTTTCTCAGATGTTTTTGTTCTCACAACATTTATGACTTACTACCAATCATAAATAACTACTTAACTGTGCAAATGAAGTACATACTGCACAGATTATTACAATATTCTTTACAGCACAACTGACAAAAAATGCCTAGTGCAAGGAATACTTCTTTCAACAACCAAGTAGGAAAAAGCTACCGCAAATTAAATGCAAGGCAACTATAACAGGGATACACAACAGTGACTTTGAGAAACATATCACTAATGTAACATTAAGGCTATTGTAAAAATTCTTAACAATCAATGATGAAGACAAGTAATAGAAGTGGTTAACCCACGAGTATCTAAGGAAGCTAAATGAAAATAAGATAGCAGAGAGCATGGTGAATTTTTTAAAAACAGTCCTTACTTCAAAAGGTGTAGACTATGTATATACACTTATATGTTCAGGAGGAGAGTCTTAAGAACTGAAGCAAATGTTGGTCACAGGTCTACTATCGTACAGACAAAGTAAAAATTAATTACAGTACACTATTAGATCTAAATTAGATTTAAGTATTCTTAATTAAAATTAGACACTGCTGATCATCTAGCAAAGAATATTACACTAAGAATAACCTCTATATTAAGGACTGGAAAGTGGCCAGTGTGTGTGTGTGTGTGTGTGTGTGTGTGTACATATACAAATAAGATTTCCTGGGGATTCAGGAAATTACATCTTCTGTTGGTTTCAGCTGATAAACAGAATCCATATGATAGTGACTTAAATGGATAAGACTATTAGTATAGTCAAGAAAGCAACTGTTATCATTGAGACCACCTAGATATCTTCTACTTTGTCTGGCTTACAACACAAAATACCTGGTATTGTCCTTACTTGTCTATCAAATTATTCAGGGAGCTTCATACATTTTTCCTAGACAGAGACCTTTTGTCATGTTGTTTTAAATTGTAAATGATATGCATTAATGTGCTAGAGAAATTCCCACACAAAAGACCACCGAGCAGCATTATAATTTATTCAACATGTTAAAGCTACAATCAGATTTATGAAACCATGATATGAGAAAAACAGTATTAGCTGCCCAATAGAATAAAGGGAAATTAATTCCATTTGGCTATTATTATTACCAGTAAGGGTAATTCTCCATGGATGTTGCCAGCAGGGCAATTCTGAGAGGGGGCAATGAAAAAAAAAAGTTTCAGGATCAGTTCAAAAGATTGATCTGTTTGAATTGATCAGATTCAGAACATCCAGCCAAATGTTACAGTGATGCAGACTTTCCTAGAAATCAAATAATGCAAGACCAAGCTGATGTTTCTGATGCCTTTTTATAGCTAAAATAAAACCAACATTTTGTGATGCACAGCAGTAATATGCTCTCAAAAGAATGTTCAATGGTAGAAGTGAGAAAGAGTGCTAATTGGTCTATTCATTTTTTTTTTAGAAGTTTGAACTTTATGTAGACCTTCTGCTTTAGGAATATTTGGTAACATTTTTAGACAATATTCTGTGGCTCCCCAATTGATTGATGATTATGTGCCATTAAGTTCATGTTGACCCCTAGCAACCACACAGACAAACCCCTCCAGGATGATCCTTTCCCAACTGGGCCCTTCAGGTCTTTCACTAATGAAGTACAACCACACCACTGGTAGTCATCGTCTTCTCTTTTCTTCCACCTTTCCCAGCATTATGGGCTTCTCAAGGGAACTGGGTCTGTGCACTGATTATAATTATGTGCCCTCAAGCTGGTGTTGATTTTTAGTGACCACATAGATAGACCTTCTCCAGAATGATCTCTTCTCAACCTGGCCCTTCAGGTGCCTTGAGTGCATTTTATGATACAAAAGAATGGCCTTTTCTTTCAAATGTAATACTTAAATTCATTCTTTCCCCTCTGTTACAGAGAACAAGGCAAGCTAGGAAAGAAAGGCTCAGCAAAAAATGCTGCTGAACTGGGAAGAAGGGAAAGAACAGGAAAACATTTTTTTTTTCCTCATAAAAAAGAAAGCAATATACAGTTGAGCTATTTATGGCTGCCATTTGTTTTGAGAAGCCCTACCTGCCACAAGAGGGGGTGTTTCTCGGAGATACTTTAAACACTGAAGCCGATATTCTTCCCAATTCTGCTTTAGGGAAGGAAATGAGAAATATGGTTTCTGAAAAGGAAGAAAATGAGTCAGTTAAATCCAATTGTTCAGAGATTATTTTCCCATAATATTGAAGTATGATAAGCTACTATTTATCATGTGATTATCTCCTCAAATTCACAACTGGAGATACCAGAGACAAATCAGTAATTAATATCCAACAAAATACTATACTTGACTAAACTTTGCTATAGTAAAATTCCCTCTGTGTACTACGCCTTTCTAACTGTAAAGCAAGATGATACTAACAATTGTTCTTAACTTTGCTCATTACTAGCCACTTCCAAAATAACTAATCATGACTTGTTCCTTCATGCATTATGCTTTGTTGACATCTGACATGCTTTATTATCTCCAAAATGTAGGGGCTTCAATCTTCTTTAATGAACAGGCTATCCTTTCAAAAGTATAAAATTGCTAGATATGCTTGACAACAGCTCACAATACAGATGCTAACTGAATGTTTGTTGTTGAGTGTGATAAGAGCTCTATATGATGGAATTAAAGCATGTGTTGAAAATGAATGGAATGCTTAGCAAATAGTTTGACAATGAGCAGAATTAGATGAGGGTGTGTGACGTCTCTTTCATTGTTTAATGTATTTATAGTATATAACAATATACTTTTCCAAAAGTGTATGGGAAGCTCATGGTAATGCTACCTGCATGTTGGCTGGGGACATAAATGTGTATGTTCTTTGGTATGCATATGATACCATGTGATTAGCTAAGAATCCAAATGCAAAATAGCATTTAGTTATGCTGTGCAAAAGTATGATGCAACAAGGAGTACAGTAACAAGGAGTATAGACTGAAAGGCGTCTTACATATCTAATATAGACAGTATATCACGATAGTATAATGCAAGTTAGATGCAACAGAAAAGGTTCACTTTCAGACAATATTACAATGAATAAGGAAGTTAGACAATGTTGCATCCTGGCCCCTACACTATTTAACATGTAGCTCAATAATCTGGAGACCACATTACTTCAGGTTGAGGGCCACTGTCGATCATTAGCCAAAAGGAAACTTTGGGTTTAGTTATATGCAGATGATGTTGTTTTTCTTTCACATACTAGTTTGGGTCTGAAAAACCTACTTGAGGCACTAAAGTATTGCCAAGAAAATCAATTACAAGTTAACTATGATAAAACTAAAATTTTGGGTTTTGAAAAAAAAGTTAAAAAGTATATCTGGAAAATTCAAGATCGTATAATAACACAAGTAGAGAATTTTAGTTATCTGGGCATTTTATTTAACCGTGCTCTAACCTGGCAACACCATTGTAAGGCAATACTTCTGAAAGCAAAATCTACTATGACGGCTTTGCTTCGATATTTTTACTCAAAAGGAGGAAGATTTGTTCCTGCAGCAATAAAAGTTTTCAATGCCAAAATTGCATCACAAATTCTATATGGAGCTCCAATCTGGATCACATTTGCTAATAATAATGTAGCACAACTGCAGGTGAAATTTTTAAGATCTCTTTTAAGTGTCCCTAGCTGTGTTCCAAATTCTGTAATTCTCTTGGAAACTGGGCAGTGGCCTTTGAAAACAAAGGCTTGGTTAAGCACTATTAAGTTTTGGTTGTAAATATGTTTTTAAAAACAAGGAAGGACTGCTTCAGGAAATCCCAAATGAATCCTTTGTAGATACGTGGTTCATACAGGTGACTCAAAAGATTAGTCAGATTGGCATTGATACTGATTATTTATTCTCCAGGGTATGTCATCAGGATTTCATTTTATCAAACAAAGGCTATGGCATAATTCAGTACAGGATTTAATGGCTAACGTCAAAGTATCGTGTTCACTTGTTACTTTTGGAATTAACTACAGATGTAGGGATTTTTCAACTCCCAAAATATTTGAATAGCTTATATTTAAGTAAATACAAAATAGCCTTTTTGAAAGACAGATTAAATGTGTTGCCATCAAAAAATTCCCACCTCTCAAAGATTTTGTCCCTGTAATTGTACTGTTCTGAAATGGTGGATCATATTTTACTGTATTATGAATTTTACAGGAGTCTTTGGCAGGAAGTTACCTGGTCTATTTTAAAATCCAAACCAGGAAGAGATACTTCTGAGTATGTAAAAATTTTACTTCAGATGAAAATCCTGAGATCACAATGGCAACAGCCAGATTTTTAACTATGGTTTTAAAAACAAGGTTTTTAGTAACAAATCAATGAGTTTTAAGTGTATTATGTAATATTTATTAAATATTTTATTTGTTAAACTGTTTTATCTAATGCCAAGTTTAGATTATATTTGTTATTTTATTTGTTAAACTGTTTTATCTAATGCCAAGTTTAGATTATATTTGTTATTTTATTTGTTAAACTGTTTTATCTAATGCCAAGTTTAGATTATATTTGTAACTTGCTTTTGGGCCTTTTGGTTAAAGTTAAATAAAGTAGATGTATTTGTATATTTTGTTGGAATATTTACTAAGAATAGAGAAATGGATGGAGGTATTTAATAAAAGTGCATTTTATTCCTTGTTTAAACATTTAAAAATGATTGTGCTGTTCTAGATCTTCCCCATCTCAGATTTATTTTCAACAAATACATCATAATAGAGTTGGGTGGCCTTATAAATTTAATTAACTAATTAAAGACAGAAAGAAAAGAAAAAAGAATTTCCAAATAAGGAAAGGGTGTGGGGTGGCAGTAAAACCAATAGCTCCTCTGAAAATATCCCTAGATTAATGAGATTATACTTTAATTTTAAAGGAAAGGAAAGGAAAGGAAAGGAAAGGAAAGGAAAGGAAGAAAAGAATCCCCATGACAATGAGCTTTTTTCTGGAATTTTTTTTACAGGCTTCCCTGACCCCCCGACTCAAACCTGGCCCATAATCCACTGGGTTAGAAGTATAAAACTGGAAGATATTGTTACTGAAAGGATGAGTACAGCTTTCTGTATGTGGAGGAGAAAAAGGATAACAAACTTTTCAGATGGATTTTTCTAGCACATTCTATGAAGGCCAAATGTTTGTGTGATTATTCCACATCTTGTTTGTCCAAACTCGGTACAGTTCCTGCTCCAGAAATTTTTTTAGGTAGGTAAGATCTAACTCTATCTTTCTTCAGCTTATTTCAAATTTATATTGGAAATGTGAACAACAAGAAGGGACATTTTGTCATGTTTGGTAGATGTGTAAAAAAGCTATAAAATTCTGGATTCAAATG